CTATGCGAGTTCTATTAAAGATCGAATATTTAACTCAGTAAATTCTCTACTTTGATTTAACTAATATTGCTACATTTTGCATGATAGTGTCTTATTAATAGACCTATTTTATTTTTTTTGGTATTTTACATTTTATGTAAGTTAGACAAAATTATGAGTTTCTATCTTTTACTTAAGTACCTATGTATATATAATTGTAAAAAATTATTATCTCTTAAACATCTAGAGTTTAGTTTGTATAAGAAAAACAATAACATGAATTTACAAAGTCAGATTTATATGACGAGTTTTGGCTGAAACATATCATAAAACGAGATGTCGATATAGTCAATATTTGTCTGCTTTTAATTTTCGGTCACAGAAATATCGCAGACATTTCTGATGCATATAAGCTAACCAGACTGGGTGCCTCAAGAATTCATTCATAGCATTTAAATGATCTGGAATTTTCCAGTATTGCGCAACTTAACACATAATGGAAATATTTCATGATATCCAGATATCTGTACGAAAGTTGGCCATTATTATACAAGTAAAAATTTAACAATCTCACTAAAATACCTCATGAAGATATTAGATATTCTAAAGAGTTTTAGAAAATTGAACCTTGTAAGTGTTCTAGAGACTCATGCTCAAGTACAAGTCCTGTATTTAAAGAAATGGCCCTAAACTCGAGTATTTGGTAATGCAATAAACTTATATGGCGAAGTAGATTTTTAGAATTGCCGTCATTACCTTTTACGTATTCTAAAAAGATAAATGTAATGAAAATATATTGTTTTTAAGAAAAACAACATTAATATTCTTAAAATTTCATTTTAAATAAATTATATTTGCTTTATTAACCATGCTAGGAAACATTAATCTATTCATAATAAAGCCGCTAAAAATAATATAAGATTAAATCATTTCATTAAATTACTTTAATTAAAAAGCAGACAATTGCGTTAATATACTAAACTTTTAATTACATTAAAAAATATTTGCCTAAACGCTAAAATAATTAAATTTCAGTCTAAAAAATTAGCATTCATCTGCACGTAACTCCGTCCTAACCGGTCGCAGTAGACACCTTAACAAGAAAGGCAAGAGTGACAGTGAACTCGCCTAACTAGCTCATTGTCATTTATGAGAAATAAAAGTTAATATCAATTAATCACATTTTAAGCAAAAAAGCTACTTACTCCACCTGAAAAAGTCAAGGTGTAACCAACCAAAAAATTACCGAAAACTCCACAGCGCGCAACGTATTTCGGTGGATGGGGCCGCTTTTAATTTCTGTTAGAATTTTTCCACATTTTTGGCGTTTTCCCATATTTACATAATTTTATGTTTTTTCATTTAGTTTTTTTATGCTCTTGCTTTATTTTAAGCATAATTTAATGATAATAAATTTAGTTAAACATCGTGTCACCAAAATTTAGTAGAAATTAGCTGAAAGCAAGGCAACTCGGTTTTTGTAGCAAATACTTCAGTGATAGATACGTACACTACGAAATAGTGACTTATCACGTCAACTGTGTCTGAAAATTGTTTTCATATCTGTTTTTTCTGTTCAGTTAATGGGTGAGGAAGGTACTTAACTTCAGATACGCAAGCATAAGCACAGATAGTAAGAAGTAAGCTTGGGTGAAACTATGAAACTATGCTAAGTATGGGAAGTGAAGCCTTTTATGAGTGTTATTTAATTATATAAAAATTTTGTTAATTTTTGCAATTTAACGCAACTTAAACAAGCGGAAATAAAATTCTTCGTGGTAGCAAAAAAGTATTTAAAATTAATATAATTAAATTATGCTTGCACTTGGTAGATTGTGTTCTCAGTAATGAAAGGCATTCTTGAATACAGAGTCTTTAAGTAGTCTATTGGTATTTTATTTGATTAAGGGTGAGGTCTAATAAAAATGAGATTAAATACATTCAATTGAATTTATATGCATACTTTAGTAATAAACATAATTTTGTCTTATAGATATTATCAAGCCAGGCGTAGTGAATACCAACGAATTTTATCTACATACACGAGTAGAACCGACTCTACTATTCAAAAGCTACAAGTTGCTCAAAGTCAGGCTCTCCGAAGACTCTTCAAAGTGCCTTGGTACATCCGCACAAACGACATGCTAAGAGACCTTAGAATAGACCCTATCAAAAAATACATAAGGGACAGAGCCCTGTAGTTATATACGATAACTGACGGGCTATCCTATTTAGCACTATCTAATCTTAGAGTAATCACTCTCCATACGGGGAGGTACGCAGATCTTAGATCAATCACTGAATAATCATGAATATTATAGAGAATACATAAATTAGTCAATGAGATGGGTGGGACCCTGTAGTACCCCCAGCTATCAAAGGGTAAATGTGCCCAGTTGCGCTGACTCGAAAAAAGGGTCAACATACATACATACATACGAGCATGCAACGCATGCAGAAAGGTAAAGTAAATATTTTAGTGATCAACTAATCATATTGATTTTTTATAAAATATATATTAAATTTAACGCGGCAGCGGAACTACACCAACCTTTAAGCGCAGGATCAGGATCCTCATATTCTAAGGATGCTCATTTTGAAGACATTTGCTAGCAATTAAGATTGATGGATATCGAACACTGGACAACTGTTTTAGTGCTGATATAATGATATCTAATTTAATATTTCACAGATCAGATTTTATTTTAAAAAGTTTTTAAAATTACTGAATATCAGTAAACTCTGTTTAGTGAATGATTAAAAGAAATTAATTTAGTGACAGATAGGCACTTGAATGCTGTAAGGTCAGGACTATAAGCATTGAGCTATTAGAGTTTATATGGAGGACGTATGCATATAAGTCAGTTTGTGAAAATGAAAAGTGGAGAAGTAGAAGTATCGTAAAAGTAACCTATACGAAGAGAATTTCGGTTAGGCATGCATTTTATTTTTGCTTTTATAAAAGTTAAACAATTATGTTGGATAACTTAACTTATGTTATGTACACTCAATATATACTCATTAATAAACTAAAGATCAGTTGACTAGATAAAGTTGGTAAAAATACTTCAACTATTCTTATAATCAAATACAACAATGGTTAACAACAATGAACAGAGCTGGCAAAATACAGTAAAATAGAGAATCAAATATCGATTTTATTTGTATCGCCATGAAAATTAAAATAGGGGATATAATTATTTTAAATTGATATACCATTGCAAAAATATAAAGTTCTTCAATATATAAATTAAAATAATATATGAAAAAAAAAATTAAATTATTTGTATAATTATATGTGAATAAAAATATGTGAAAATAAATCCTAAGCCTCATTTAAAACAAATTCATATAATAAAAACTGCAGAAATAAAACAATACTTGAAAAAAGAAAGTATGTATTTTTGTTACAGTGTTTTATTAAATGTATAAATCGATATTAAATTACCAAACAGATGAAAATTATAATAGTTTTTAGGCATAAACAGTTTAATAATTAAAAATACCATACAAAAATAATCAAAATCGAATATTATAGTTGTGATTAATTTCTCTTATTATAATAGAATTGAAAACCAATATAATGATAACTAACATAGGCTTTAATTAAGTTTGAATACAGATGTGCCTACTACTAATCTAATTTACTTTCTAATAGCCTTTAACACAATTCATTATATCATAACTTTCTAAAAAAATATCAGATTTAATTAAATTTATACTATATGTGAACTTTATTTCGTCATATTTAACCGCAAAATAGAGGTGTCAATTACAACATATTTAATGTACAATTTAGATTTAATTACTTTGTAAACTACGTAAAAAAGTATTAGATTCGAATATGCAATCCGCACCAAATATCTACAGCAGCCAGTGGTGAAGTTGTGAAAGATACATTGTGTGAACTTTGCTAATAGGAATACTAGCAAAAAGTTAAAATTATTTAATTACACAATGTAATGTGTTTGCTTACACAAATTAGTTAGCATCATTTTGCACAACTATTTTAAAATTGAGCTAAAGTAAATATCATAAATGTACTAATTTACAAATAAAAATAAATCTATAGAATTATGTAAAGAAAATATGCAAAAAATAATACATTCATTTTAAATCTACAGCACAGAAGATTTTTTTATTAAATTAATTTTGTAAATAAATTGTTGATTAAATAGATTCGTATTTTTTTTATTAGTGATTGAATTTGGAACACGCTGTATGCTAATTTTCTAGTGCGTTTTTTAATTATCACTGACTATTAATATTAATAATATATATATTAATTCAATATGTATTAATAATACTAAATATATGTACACCCATGTTGTAATATAAAATATAACTACAATACAGGTATTTAATATATCTCTTACTTAAAATACACCAATTATTCGTAATCTCTCCTAGTATATAATGCAGATTCTTAAAAATAAAAATGATTGTTTATTTACCTGACATTCGGAAATAAGAAAAATAAGTTTTTAAATAATAAATACATTAATGTGTGCAAAATTTCAGACCAAAATGTATTTGGTAAAATAGATTTTAATTTTAAAACTATTAAAAAATCGACTAATGTAGTTGAAGATAGACATCAGAAAAAGTTAAATCCAACGAAGTAATCCCAAACTTTCAGAAATAAAAACTCTGTGTGACCTAAAACCAAAACCAAACAATCAAAGTACAATAATCTTCCGCAGCAACCAGGGCAATCAAAACGTTAATATCTGCAGCTGAAATGTTTGTAAAATTTGTTCATTTAAAAAAAAAGGATTTTTACAGAAATGTTTAATTTTAAATGTTAAGCTGTGAAATTACAGAGATATACTTGCAATTTGTTTGGAACACAAAATTTATTTGATACGTTTTATTACCAAAAATTTTACGGCACTTCTTATTTCGAATTATTTTTCTTAATTTTTTTTTTTTGTAACAGCATTTTCTATCCTTTTCTATCCTTTTTCTTTCAATTGAATAATAGATCAAGTTTGTGGTCTCTCTAGAACCTAACAACTTACCGGCTCGTACATGTACATCACGCGATATAATTGATCCAAATTGATTACGTGCCAAACAGGCATATACTTGAGCATGCACTTCTTGTCGGTAGTCTTCAGCACGGAAAGGTGGAAATACTAGTTTACCATCTGATGAAATTTGACGCAAACCTGGTACATCACCTACTGCAGTGCCATCGCTACGTATCCAAATAATCTCAGGCATTGGATTCCCGCTAGCTTTACATTCAATTTCAGCACCTGTTGAGTTCGAAAAATCTATACGATTGGTTGGTTCTTTAAGAAATACAGGTCCTTTTTGATCAGCATCGGGGGGATTGACGGCAGCAGTCAATGGGGTTGTAACTGCAAAAAAAAAATTTGATTATTCAACTGTTGACATTTATTATATTGTATCAGACAGACTTAAATGATTTTCATTTATTATAAATAATACATATTTATGTTGTATCAGATATACCAAAATTAAATACTATATGTAGTTATTATTTTTAGATAATATTTCATCATGTAGTTAGACTCTGTACTTATTATTTTTAGATAATATTTCATTATGTAGTTAGACTCTGTTTTGGAAAGTGCAAGTACTTCTTTAATCTTATGCTCAACTTAAAGACCTGATATGTTCAACAAAAGATAATAAGATAAGGTAGGTATAATAGATATAAGATATAATATACAATAAGATATATATATCTCTTTAATTGTTACAAAATTTTTGAACTAATACTACATGTATATAAGTGAGTTATTTATATAAATTAATGTTTTTTAATTGCTGAAAAATATACTCAAATTAGTTTATGTCGAACGGATATGTCAAAGTATTGTTACTCAAACATGGAATAATGTTATACTTAATTACTATTAATTATGAAAATGATTGTTAGATACTCTGCACTTGACAAAACATAAACTTAACCACTTAGATGACAGTGCACAAGCTTCTGTATAATATCTAGAAGAATAAATCCTACACTGTACTTGTACCTAAATATACAGAATCAAAAGGTAAGCTAATCCATAGCAGATGTACCGATACATTTTGAACTCTATACTTTTATAAGAAGTGAAAATATACGCTTAAAGTTTTGTTGTATCTTTTGTTATCTGATATCTCAGGTATGAGATATCATTTAGTATAAAAAACTTTAATAACTAGCTTTGATTTTAATGTAATTATATGCAAGAGTTATCTTCCCAGCCTTTTATAATGATATTAAATTACTATTAATATTTTAGGCGTTATAGAAACTAATGAAATCAAAACTCTTTTCATAATTTATTCATAGTGGAATGATGGGAAAGTTTGATGGAAAACTAATCATTAATTAGTATTTTAACACAATCGTTACTCTTTCGTTCACTTAAAGTTAAATAAGTAAAATTTAATTATTCAACAGATTGATTCGTTTGTTGTTTCATCATTCATGCTCATTGCATGAACATTGCTAAACAAATTAGATACAAATTTCAATGAAATAAAGACAAAGCGAATTTATGACAATAAAAATTTTTGTAAAAGTACAATAAAGAAATATATAAAATATAGCTTTTTACTGAAACTTTTTTTAAACCCGCAGAACGGAAGTGTTGACTTTAACCGGCAAAGTCAATCGTCATCAGTTTATCATGAGAATACCAACAGCAGCGTCTGACAACAGAAACAACAAATGGCTGCCATGGATCAGTGACTTGCAGTGGCTCCACAGTTCATATTATGGTCTTACATGGTTTGGTATGTCACCAAGCGCACAATGAAATTGCATTTATGCACAACAGAAGTAAACCTCCCACTAGTTCCCTGCAGCCCAGGAACGGTATAATAAAGTTTAAACAAAAAAGTAAAGAAAAACGTGTCGATGACACTTTGGTGTCTGTGTTGCCAACACTTTAGAATTTAATTTCATGCATGCCATGAATGTTATACGTAGTCAAAAAACATAGAAAAAAAACAAATTAAAAAGATTCAAAAGAATAAAAGTAAAGTAAGTCCGTTTTATAAACGTATAAGGCACGTTACTCTGTGTTTGCTTAGATACAATTTTATCTGGCCTGAAGCTGTTGACATCTTTGGATACGGATGAGTGATATAGTTCTAGTATTGTATAGTTGGCTGTATGCGAATACATAAGGAACAACAGCATATTTTCAAAAATAATTTAATTTCGTTGTCCTTCTTACAACCGTACCTTGGATTTCATGCTAAACCGTATAATTTACAATATTTATTCTAAATTATATTCTAGATGTTCTATATAAATTAGGCTTGAATTTAAAATAAAATAGATATCAAATAAATGCGTTATTGTAGCTAACGTAACAATGCACGAAAATTGACATTCTTCTCTATAACCGCAGTTTTCATGCTTAATTCCAGTTATAGAGTCTATAAAAAATCTGTGCAATATTGCACCTCTCTTCAATAACATCTTTTTTCCCTAAATTTTTTCACATACTTTCTGATTTAGATGAACACAATTTTTTAATTAATATGTCTCTTCAACCTTAACCTGTGATAACTGAAGTGGAATTCTTAGCACCTTCATCCACAATGGCTGGAAACTTCATTTTTGATTTCTAAGAGGTCGGTTTAGTGTGTTAAAATCTCCAACTGTGGCCTTTTAGGGTTTCCACATATCGGAGAAAAAATGTCAAAATTTTGTAGTTTTTTTTTAGAATTTTATATCAATTTTTCGTGCAAAATAGATGTTAGTACAAGATTTTAGAACGAGTACTACTGATTATGTAAAAAATCTAGAGTGCTTAAAAGTGAATAAACGAGTAAATAAATGTTCATGTGATTTACAAGATGAGTGACTTGTTTATAACCTTTAATCTACACGAGTACTGTTTTTAGTATATATCACTTTTGCTGTCTTAATTTGGGCTCACAGTTCCAATAATACATATCAAATAGATCTATCATCCAAACAATTAATATGGTTAGTTTAAGGCATGCTACTTCAAAATATGATTCATTCAAGGACCTTTGAAAACAGCGATTTTTTCAATAGACGCATATCTACGCTTAATGCATATCTTGACAAATAAAATTGTCGCATCGGAGACAGTGAAAATTTTGTCACTAAGATCATAATGGTAATAACTGTTTGGTTTATGAATTGTAGTAGGCGTCTTGCTTATGTTTCAGTATATAAAATAAATATTACACAAATTCATTTCAGTCTTTAATATTTAATTAATTAACTTTTTTCAAAATGACTTTTCGTTTAGAGTGTAATAAAACAATATGATAAATTTAATGTATTCTTTTCTGACTACACAAAACGATATGACAACCCTCCGAACCCTCTCTCACCACGATACATACTATACGTATATTTTGACAAACTTCTTCTGACTATGTGTATTTTTTTCCTATGTGCATTTCAAGTAAATGAAATTGTAAATACTTTTATATACATATATAGATTTTTAAGAGCATGAGACCAAAGCGTTGAAAATTTTATGACAAAATTTCCAGATGAGTTTGAAATTCGCTTGTGCATGCTAAAAATATTTATCCTTCAACTCTCGGGAACAACACTGTTGAAAAGTCATTCTGAAAAATATTAATTCTACAATTGCAATCATTCGACGATGCTTGTAATTAAGTCCACTGAGCTCCACTTTAAAAATACAACACATTAACCACTTAAAAATGTGTGTATTTCGTTTTTAATTCACTTTAAATAAGCAGAACGTGCGACAGCATTAAATGTTGTTTTAGATACATTTCAAATATGAAATTAACATTTCAATTCCATTATGACAAAATTGCGTGTGTAGTTATAGATAAATGTAAGCAAGAGTATTCACGCATAAAGCTCTACGTCCGGTGTACTTACTGAACTGCGACAATCCCTACTGGAAAACTCAGAAAAATATGTTCTCGCTGTTGTGTTGGAAATCCATTTGTTTTTATTTCATATGTCTCAATTAATTAGTGCCTCAGCCACTGTATTAGTTTTCATGGCCTCAATAGTATACATATATCGCAGCTTTGTTATAAAAAAAACAATAAAACTAATTAAAATGACAAAAGCATTGATGCTTCTGCTAATTAGTTTTGTTTTTACTTTTTTATTTAAAGAAAACCATTTAAAATGAAATAAAGTTATGCCAAATTTTTTTCTACAAGTTATTCATGCATTTAGGGTACACATAAATATAAAACCTTTTTTATAATTAAATTAAAAAACATACTTTTTTATATAAAAGTGTGTTAACTCTTTTCACACTTTTATAATGTGAAAGGACAATCGATAGGTTGCGAAACTAGATTCCTTATACAGTAGCATCAGATTAGCTTTGGTGCGCGAAACTGCCACTCCAACCTTACCTAACCTAAGCAACAGATTAACCTTTACCAAACCAAAAATATATACATAGTTAATATTTCCTAGAATTCAGATTTGGTTTTAAATATTTTTAGGATAATAAATCAGGAAACGAGAAGTAATGAAGTGGTGAACATTGTTAAACCAACCCAAAATTTAATTTTTTTTAAACAATATTCCTAAATAATAGGAAAATGTGGGATTTTACTAATCCGACATTTATTTCAGAAATTATTATTTCAGAAAAATAAAAAAGTAGAAATGCTACTATTGTAAACGAATTTAAATATAAAAGATAACATAAAGTGAACGTCAAAATTATATACCTTACCTATACCTATATATATATATACGTATATACCTTAGGAGAATGTAACCACCTTTAAAGAATTAAAGGCAAAAAACTTGCATTTCTTAAGCAATACCTTAAATACTGATACACAAAAAAAGTAAATAAAAAATATAAGGATTCAGTAAAAATTTTTAGATAAATGATGTCAAAAGGTTACCTAAAAAAATTAATAAAAAACTACGACGTCTCTAACTCTATAAAATACACATCAAAATCTAGGGGATTTAATGTGTTTTGTTGGATTGTGTTGACCAAAAAGTATTTGGCTTTATTAGTCAAATTCAAAACATGAATTTTTTTTAATTAAAGACATAAAGATAAATTTTTTCGACTGGAAACATAATTCCTTTACTATAGAATTCCACGATATT